TTGCCCAACCAGGGGTGGAACTCCAGCCCTTGGCTGTGAAAGCAGGAAGGCCTAACCACTGGGCCACCAGGGAATTCTGTCTTCTTCCTCTTTCCTGCCTCCACCCACCATTCTGACTCTCCATCCCAGTCTCACTCACTCATTCACCCCGTATTTATCCATTCAACACCTGCTACGCAACAGGTAGCAGTCCAGACCTGAGAAAACAGTGTCAGCAACGACGTGAAGATGGCCGTCTATGAGCAGCTGGCATCCCAACAAGGGAGATGCAGGTTATACAGGAAAGAGACTCCATGGACAGGTTATGCTTTATATAGAAGTATATGCTGTGGGAAAAAAGAGAGTTAGAGGGTAGTGAGATTCAGGAGTTCCAGAGTGGGACAGCTTTCCGTATTAAATAGGGTGGTCAGGCTAACCAGCCTCCCTCCCTTCCTCCCTCCTCCCTCCCTCCTCCCTCCTCACACAGGGGAACTAAGATCCACTAAGATCCCACATGCCCTGCAGTGTGACCAAACTATTAAAATTTAAGAAAAAGTTTCAAAGAAGGAGCTCACGAAATATATTTCTAATGAGCAGTCTTGTTTAAAAACAACTGGACTAGATGATGATCATTTACTTTTATCTAGTTTGTTTCACTTTTTCTATTTTTTATTCAGTGCTCCCATCTCATTTAATGTTTTCCAACTTCTCTGTCTCTTCCCTTTTTTTTTGATGTTGTTCCTCAAGCCTTTATGCAGTAGAAAAGTTTTTGTGTCCATATATATAAATAATATGTATAATATATGTATGTTAGAAAACTTATGAATTTTTACCTAACAAAAAAATTTATGACATTTTGATTCCACTTGTTTGACTTCATATGAATAGATTTTTAATTTAAAAATATGCGAAAAACAAAGAAGGCGCACAGACACAAAGGGTCAGTGTGTCCGCCCCCCACCCCTGCTGTCTGTCTCCCTCTCTCACCCACCCTCAGGGCCTCCCCTCTGGCCTCTGCTCCTCCAGCTCCGCAGGTCCCCGATGCTCCCCCAGACCCGCGGCTGCTGCCTGCATCCCAGCTCACATTCCGTGCTCTTTTCCTCCCAGAGAAGATGCTGACGTGAACCGGCCACGCACACACCCTGGCCAAACGCCCCTAGTCTCTCCATTGCCTGTGTCCCTCTCAGGCACCCGGAATGGACCCTGTCCCTCCCCTGCTCCCAGCCCTCCCCTGGCTCCCCAGCACCCAGGACAAAGTCCCAACCTCTGAAGCTGGCATTCAAAACCCTGCCCGGGGTGGACTGTGTTATACACCCACCCCTGTGCTTCATCCTTTCAGCTTCCACAACATCAACTCCCAGTACTTTCCTGACTGTCTAGGACATTCCTTGCCTCGGATGCCCTTCTTGTTCCATCTTTCAACCCCCAGCCGCCCTTACCCTAACTCCTCCACACTCAAGGGCTCGGCTCCTCCAGGATATCACCTCCTCCAGGAAGCCCTCCCTGACTCTCCTGCTGGGTTCGTGCATCCTTGCTTGCACTGGTCTGTGATCCTCTGTTTACACAGCTGTCTCCTCCACCAGATTGGCATCTCCTCAAGGGCAGGGCCCAGGTCTGAGTCATTTCTGTGTGCCAGGCATCGCCCAGCTGAGAGCCCAGCCCCACCAGGAGCTGGGGCACAGGAGACGTCCCTCCAGTGAGCACATGCCCTTCCTGCTGCCTTTTCTCCGCTGCGGCCTTATGGTCTCCCCGCTTTCGTTCTTTCCGTCCTGCATTCTGTAAACCACACCCTGAGTTTTTCGATGATGATGGAAATCTTGGGAGGGTCACCGTGGACCCAGGGCAGGGACCTGAGGGCCGCCATTGGAGTGGAGGATTCTGGGAGAGATGGCTCTTAGTGAGGGGAGCAGGGGGTGGTCGTGCCACTACCAGCCACTGCCCCCTCTGCGAGTGCCCGTTTTATCTGTCCTTGTCTTTTAGCTCTTGTCTTGGCTGTTTCCAGCCTTGGTCATGTCTCCCTGCAAGGAATTCTGGGAGACTGGCCATTTAGGTCTGAAGGAGGAGAGCATTAGGGTCCTGAACTCTTGGATCCCGAGGGAGGAGAAGGCTGGGGTCCTGGACCCCTGAGTCTGAGGAAGAAGGGGCTGAGGGTCTGGACCTCTCGGTCTGAGGGAGGAGGGGCTGGGGGCTGGGGGCCCCGAATCCTGGGTCCTGGAGAAAGACACCATTGAGTTGAAAGTCCTGGTCCCTCCTTCCTCGTCCGCATTCTGGTTTTAGAAACATCTGGTTTTATACAGCTGCTCCACCCGGGCAGGGCGGGGTGGGGGCTGGGCAACCAAATGCCCGGCTTCTGAGTGGAGCCCGGGCTCCCCCCAGCCTCCCTCGTGCTCTGGGCTGGGCTCCCACCGGAGGACCCATCACCCTGGTGTCTGGCGGCGGCCAGGCTCCCGGCAACCACGCCCTGCCCTGGTGAGGGGCGGGGTACCCCGGACTTGGGGCCTGAAGTAGCCTTCTTCTCCCTGACAGCCAGGCTCAAGCAGAGGCCCAACCTGGCCGGGGTTCCCCCACACCCTGCCTGTCCCGGGAAACTCAGGGAGTGAGAACTTGGCACCTTGCAGGGGAAAGCGCCAGAACAGGCGGGGAGAGATGGAGCAGCAGGGAGATAAGAGGACCAGGACCTGGAGACAGAAAAACAGAGACAAACAGTGTGAGAAAGAGAGCGTGAGTCAGAGAGAGAGACACACTCAGAGCCTCGGAGATACAGAGATGCAGAGAGACTTAGAGAGCAGACACACACACACCCAGATGAACAAACAAACAGACGGACAGACGCACGGACACAGAGAAAGGAGAAACAGGCAGCCACTGAGAGGATCCGGGAGAAACAGAAACAATACCTGGGAGACAGGAAAAAAGAAAGAGTTAAGGATCCAGACAGAATCAGAGAGAAGGAGATGGATGTACGCAAGGAGAGACAGCAGCAGAGAGAAACCCACAGAGAATGAGGAAGAGAGAAAGAGAGAAAAAGGATAAGAAAGAGAGACAATAGAATGAAGAAGTCAGGAGGTGCAGAGTCAGAAATTAAGAGACAGAAAGACGCAAACCCAGAGGAAAGCAGGTAGAAATGGACACACACACATACACAGAGGGAGCCATAGGGAGAGACTGGAACACAGAGAGAAAGAATCAGACAGACAGATGGACAGAGAAACAAAGCCAGGGAGAGAGAGACAAAGTGTGAGATTTAGAGAAAGACAGATATAAAGAGACAGGAGATGGTCAGGCACACACAAACATAATCAGGGTCACAGAGAGATGTTAGCCGTTCATTCTAAGAGGAGCAGAGAGAATTCAGTTCAGTTCAGTCACTCAGTCCTGTCCAACTTTGCGAGCTCATGGACCACAGCACGCCAGGCCTCCCTGTCCATCACCAACTGCCAGAGTTTACTCAAACCCATGTCCATCAAGTCGGTGATGCCATCCAACCATCTCATCCTCTTTCATCCCCTTCTCCTCCTGCCCTCAATCTTTCCCAGCATCAAGGTATTTTCAAATGAGTCAGCTCTTCGTATCAGGTGGCCAAAGTATTGGAGTTTCAGCTACAACATCAGTCCTTCCAATGAATACCCAGGACTGATCTCCTTTGGGATGGACTGGTTGGATCTCCTTGCAGTCCAAGGGACTCTCAAGAGTCTTCTCCAACACCACAGTTCAAAAGCATCAATTCTTT